TCGGAGAGTGACATTTCCTGACAAATTCTACCTATTATATAATCTAATTTCATATCAAGATGTATATCGTAGCGAATTGAACCAAAATATGTGTTAAACCTTGGTAAAAGTTTTTGTAGGCGGGTACTATCTTTAATTTCTGGATGACTTTTTCAGCCAGTGTTTCCTGCATTTTTGTAAAAAGTTACTCGAATGTAGGATTTTTTGTCTTCTCAATTTTGATATGGGTGGGCTGTTTCATTAATCAATTTGCCTGTTTTCATGTCGAAACTTTTGTCGTATTCAATACGAAGTTCTGAATATTGCGTTTTGGAAAGTGCTTTGGTTTATTTACATGCTTCTTCCGTTTCAGGGTAAATTTGAAAACGTGTTAATTGATTTTCTATAGCTTCTATATTTCTATTTTTCTCTGGGTTTGATTTAACTCGCTTACGGTTAATTTTGTCGAAAAGTATAGATTCTGTAAAAAAAAAATTTGGTGAACTTTTATCATTCTTGCATGAATTTTGGAGACTTGAAATGTAGTACATGGAACATAGTACACGGTGGTTGCCTGTGTTCGGGTTCTGGGGTCGCAATATTCTTGATCATTTTTACAAAGTAAGCGTATTCCTTGATACAATATGGTATCAACTTTTAAATCTCGTGTTAGTTGTACTTTTTCTAATTCGATTTTCCAATCAAAAAACATTATTTCTTGATAGCCTGTGTTTTTTGTGTCGGCTTTACAATTTGATGGGTTATTGATTCCGATGTGTGGTATCCAGTTTTTATTGTGTAAATTATATGTTAAACTACCGTGTGTGCCGTAATACGGGAATTTTTTGTCTAGCTGTATATGACCTTGATGGTATTCAAGTTGTGCTTGGTGTACAGAGTCTGAGAAGACTTTAAAATTTACCAATTTGCGATTTGAGCTTTTATTTGTGACTATTTTTAATCGTTGCAGTTCATTTTTGCAAACTTCAGGAATAATATGTAAAAGTCTTTCGAAATTACTTGGATAAAAGCATTCATGGTCGAGTCTCTTTTTATTGCTTTTCGAGACTTGTGAACAATGTACTTTCTTTTTCTGAAAATTTCGCAGTAAATTTATATCCTGTTGGAGTTGTAGCTCGGGCTTTTGAGTAAAGTGTAGCTACTATAGTTGTTGATTCAATGTCTTGTGATTCAGATTCGCCTTGTGTCACTTGATTAATTGCGTATTTAAATAGCTTTTTTTTGCTTAATCTTACTCTTATCTTTCCTAGTCTCAATAGATCTAGTGTATACTGGTATTTGCGGGTTAGATTTCTGAAACCTGTTCCAAAGGAGAACAACTGTCTTCTAAGTTATATTCAAATTGTTCTGGTGCTGAAACTACGAGTACTTTCAGCACTACAAATAATTGCCAGTGTTAGTTTTTGATCATGATTGGTTAGTAAGAAATATTTTATAGAGATCGTTTTTATCAAGAATATAATTGTTTATAAAAACTAGTTTTAAACAGGTTCCAAAAACGTCGAGTCATCCAACAAAGTGTACTTGGTGAATGAGCCAGCAAAGTAGAAACTCTTTTTTTGATTTAACCTTTCGTACTTAACTAGTATACTAAACTTGGTTGTGGTAAAATATGTTTTCAAATTTGGATTTAATTCACATTAATTCACATTAACTTTTGTCACGTACAATTTTTCATCTATTGTGTCGCACCTATGTCGCACTTAAATCAGCTTATCCAGTCATCACCTGGTTGTCAGAAAATTGGCATTTTAAAATCTTCTTCTGAATAGAACCAGCAGACAGTTGGGAAAGTATTAATTAACTCCAGGAAACAAAAAAAAACAATTTTTAAAGCATTTTTGAAGAAAACATAGTGTTAGAGCGCTGCGAATTTCAAAAATCAGTCGTGGCTGACGCAAATGCTGCTAGAAAAAGCCCAATTTGAGAAAAATTTTTAATTCTGCACGAAAATATAAAAATTAAATCCACGTTTGAAACACAATCAACCCGGTTTTGTCAGCGCCATTTGCACTTTTTGCTTTTGCTTTTAAATTCATGGCCTATATTGGCTTGTTTGACTTATGAATGAAATACATTTGGCACCTCTCATTCTTTGACAAAAGTTCCGACACATTCACAACAAAAACTTTTTCAAATTTGTGTCACTTGTGCGCAATGTAATGAAGACAAAATTTAAAGCGTGGAACTTTACTAAGCCAATCATAATCGATTACACATGTCTGGAAAAAGTGAATCAACCGAAACAAAAAATCGACTAATGAAGCTTCGAAAACTTGCTTTACGGAATCAAGAAAATTTTTTACGACTTAAAAAACGCTTTTTATTTTACTGCAACTATTTTTGAATACGATTACTACTACTACAAGGGCGAAGCCCTGAATCCGACTGTCCTCTAAGGAACAATTATTGAAAAAATGTTTAGCTTTCGCAAAATCTTATATCCACACTCAAAGTAAAGAACAGGAAAAAATTTGTCGCAATTACTAACACGTTATTTGGATCAAATAGCGCTACTCGCTTCCGCCTTAAGAAGCAAAATTTCCTATGCGCTAATAAAAAAAATGTTCACGTTCATTGACAATTCCAAATTGGCAAAAACTGCAATCCTCAAACCCGCATAACTTCAAAATATCACAGTTAACATTTCTTTTAAGCTTGTGATCAGGAGATCAATCTTTCAGCATATGGTGAGAAAATTCCGTTTAACGTTTATTACAAAAAATGAGACCGAGTAACTAAGTTGAAAAAAATGAACACAGTTTAAAAAAATCCTAAGAAATTTTGTCATAGAACAAATTTTCAGCAATTAAGATTTCTAACTTTGAACTTTTACACCACGAACCACCTGAATTTTTTTAAAAACAAAAACAAACTTTTGCGCTTTAAATATGTTGACTTGAGCTAATAAAACATAAACTGATACAAAACAGACCGGATAAGGCTGCAAGCAAAAAAAAGAATATACAAAGTCAGGGCTAGTAATTTTACAAATTACAGAAATAAATCACGACATTTTGCAACAATTATTAAAATTGCTTACTGCACAATAGGATTCCTTGACATGGCAATTAAGCCCACAAAACAGATTCAGATAAACGATAGGCCGTTTTTTTACACGGAACTCTACGGATCTGCTGCAGCTGCGTTTACAGTTTAAAAAACATGTAGTGCAAGCTAGCAATAAAAAATGAGACGGAAATAACTAAGTAAAATATTTGAAAAAAAATTTAAACCATTAAAGCCGCATAAAGCTTTTAAGCAGAAAAAAGTAACTATACTAAGCCAAAACTAGTAAATTTAAAAGTTACAGGACTAAATTGATACAGATTGCAACTACAATAAAAATTGCTTACAGCACAAAAAATCCGCGATGTGGCAAGCGACAAACCCTAAGCTGATAAAAGAAAGTCTGACAACCAATTAACAACTGTAAAAGGGTCCAAGCGGCTGGGAGGGAGCCAAAAAATTCTTAAGGTTCAAAAATAAATCAAGTTCAATTTCTTACACATTTGTAAGAAAAGTTGTTTACGGGAAAAATAATTGTTCCCGATTACAAGAGAATTGATCTCGCAAGTGTAATGAAGTAACCAGCCATTTGTAACTATTAAGCTGCTTCAGTTTTATTTGAAACAACTTTAAGCACCGCTCACGCTACGCCCTAACAGAAAACTATAAAAAGCGCGGATCAATTATCCCAAGTTGGCAATTTTTAAACCTCCATAGCTTAAGGAAAAGGGGTCGCAGGTGAAACATTTTTTTAATTTGGAGCTTCATAACATTAAACTTTTCAGATGGTAGACAAACATTCTTAAGAAACGGTTAATAAAAAACTTGAAACTAGTCTGAATAAAAGATAAACCTTCACAAGCATCAAAATTTAGTCACTTTCTTCGAAAGTCGAATAAAAAGAATGTAAACTAAATTTCTTTTAATTTATTACCAAATTTTTAATCGTCATTCATGTTACTTATCACCATAAAAAGGTAAAATATAAAACTCCGCGAACTGAGATTTAGTTAATTCATTATTTAAAATTCTAGTTCTTTTGAGGCAATCAAGGACAAAATCTAAACAGTTATGGTCATACTCTTCATACATTTCGGGAGACCACTTTCGATTGCCTTCTTTATCCTGATTCTCTTTTTTAGTCAACTCTGTGCAAAAGTGAATTAGAGCTCCCTTTGAAACTTCATTGGATAAGCCAGGACATAGTTTAGATGGAATGGCCCAGCAATTGACCCACGATTCATCCAATGTTACTCCCTTCTGTTTGGTGTAATGTATCACGATTCCCTCTTTAAGAGCGATTCCAATATGCAACTGAAGAGGAAACCTGTCAATCATAAGTTTTTTATTCTGCGATGACAACTCATTCGATTGCTGAGATCCTACATGTTTCAGAACAATAGCTGGCTGTGGGTAGATCAATATGGAGCTGCTCAGCATTGAAAGAAAACACAGATTAATCCGATTAGGAATCAAACCGTTCACTGTCCAACTTCAAACGTTTTCACCATTTCGCCACTGAAACAATGTTTACCTTTGCTTAAACATATCAAGCGGAGAACCGTTTGACATAGCATCTTGCTGCAATTTTGCGACCATCGTTTTGTCACAAGACTTGAAAATTATATTAAAAAATTATGTTCATCACAATGATAAACATATATTATATGAAATTTCCAAGGGCAATTTAAACAAGAAAAAAAGCAGTGCTTATTTGTTACAACGTTTTCTTCTCAACTAGCGTTTGCAGAGTATCCACGACACAAAATCCTGAATTTTCAAATAGCTAATCACTATAGCTCCCTTACAAACGCGGGGCATTTTTTGAGCTGAATCTGGAGCACAAAATATTTTTCTGAATGATTCATTCATTAGTTTTACTATCCAATTCAAGTATAAACATTTAGATTTTGAGCTGCTAAGACAACAATAAATTATCTTTAGTATTTCATTAATCAAAGATTTTACTATGCAAATAGAATACTGTAAAGATAAAAAGAACTTCAAATCGAAGAAGATGAATATTCTAGAGTTTCAAATTAATCGCGGACCTAAATTTTCGTCCATAAAGTCATAATTCAACTTCCGGTCCCTTTTGAAGATTTTTAAATTTATTCTCGGGGTTGATTTTAGATAAAATTGGCAACAAACAAAGGATTAATTCAACGCAAAGAAAAAATTTGACAATCAAAATACAAATTATTGGTGCTTCTAGGTCGATTCGAAGCATGTTGTCGCCATAACTCTTATCAGTGTAGATTCAAAGTTCACTTTTCCAAGGTAAGATGCGCAAATTTATATCAGAATTGACTGTTTGAATTATGGCTTAGTCTTCTTTGTCATTATTGTTCACCAGTCTTATTTTCCTCGCAGCTTTTAAAGATTTTACATTGCATTCTACCAGATTTCAAATCATTATAACATTAGGACATTTAAACTCGCGCTATTTTATTTCTTCGTACTTTCATTTATTTCAAAATTGGAGCCCGAGACTCATACTCCAACCTCACCCTCAATAGTTAAACTTTGTTGGATTAAGCATAGCTCTAGGCATCTTAAATTTTCATCCGTATAACCCAACAACTTCAAAACCATCCGTAAGTACTCATTTGACGTTTGTTTTCTAAAAGCTACAGAAAGGTAGACTAAGTTCAAACGAATTAGGCTAAATTCATTTTAATCGGCGTTTTTTTTTTTTCAATAAAAATAAAAGCACTGCGAAAAATGGTTTGAAATGTTCACAGAGCTTGAATTTCAAATGCTGATAGAAAAGTAGACAAGCACAAGCGCGGAATGATGAATTAAAGTAGGATTAAACTTGCGGCAACATTGCATTAACAAATGGAGGTCTAAACTATCCAACCTTATTTTACAACTTCAAATTGAAAAATGAGCTGTAACAAATTCAATAAGGACAACTGAAATTTCCGCCCTCGCAGTTTTATTGCTTTGTACTTCTGGTAATTGTAAGAACAAAATGTAACCTAAAATTTTCTTTTCCCTTTTTGGGTCTGCTCACACTAGTGGAAATTTTATCCTAAACTTAAATCTGACAAGGGTAAAATTTGTAGCCTACATTTTAGGCTAAAATATGTTTTCAAGTAGATAACATCAGTCAATATTTCATCTCAAGTCTTCCGTCAGGTCAATGAATAAAACTAAACAAGATTGATTCATTTGACGTTTAATGAAGGGCCTAGAAATTTCTACTGTGCGAGCGCACAAAAATGTTTGAGTGAAAATCCAGGATGGCAGCTTGCAGTGCAAGTGACACAAAATGTTCCGAGCTCATCTATCTTAAGAGAAAAAAATGTTCAACAAAATTTCATCAAATTTTTAAATTTAGTTTTTATGCAAGCAAGCGATTTTAAATGTAATATTAGACATACCTGAATGATTGAAACGCAAAAAATTCACTATCCTATTTATGATTACCATTTCTAGCTCCTACCATTTTAAGAAAATTTTAGCGATTAATTTTTTTGTTACGACTGCTGAAACTGGGGACGAACTTTGTCTTCGGGTGCGTCGGTTTTAGTTTTTTCCACACAAAATCAGACACCACAAACAATCATTAAAATGAATGTATCATATCAAAGCCCTTTTTATTTGTTAATCGATCGATAAAACAGAAAAAACCTTTTGAAATTTTTGCTTTCAAGTCTAATTTCGAGCGAGTTTTTTCGAAGACAACTGTAGTCGAATCTGATTGATTTACATAAATTCAAAGCTTTTTTCTCTCATCACACCACGCAAAAAAAAAAAAAAATTTGGAAGAAAAATGTGATTTTTTTTTAAATTTTTTTTTATAGATGAGGACTGAATTTTCTGTGCCACTTAAACCACAACCTGCTATCCTTGTTGTATTTATGAATTCTTCAAATCATCATTAGCGTGCTATGCAGGGTGTACGATTCTGAGCTTGACCTTACTCCCTTTACGGACATTTTTTGTTAAGACGCTAGCTGATTTGAACAACTTATTGTCCCACACAATTGAAATTATTTGTAAGTTCATCAAATTGATTAACAGACCATACTCGTTATTCTCGACAAGCTAACAATCCATAACTTACCACTTGACGCAATTTAAAACTGACTCACTTTTTAGAAAACGACTAATTGTCAGACAAATAGTCAATCCCTGATTATTACATTTTACAGAAATGAATTCCTCAGAAGCACCAGTGAAACTTGATCTCGGCCTTGAGGTACAGCCAGCTGAAGAGACAGTTCCTGATCTGAAAAAGATCAGAAAGATCTCGAATTATGCGGACGAAGAAAAAGATATGGTACCCTCTTTGAAGCCAACAGCTATCAATACATCCCATAGTAGCATTCCCCAGTTCAGTTCCATGGAATGCAACAGGTTAGAACTTTCAATTTTTTCCCGACATATTATTACACAGACGCGAAGCGGAGCTTCGCTCTATTTGCGATGCAACACAAACATGAAAAAACATTTGACGAAAAAAGTTTTAGATGCTGAAAAAACCTAGGTGAACAAAAATTTTCGTATGTCTCGATAAAAAACAACTACGGGCCCAGCTAAAGCTGCAGGTACGTGGTTGATATTGAATCAACTTGCTATACTGATGCAGCATGAAAAATGGGATTTCAAAAATTGGACTTGCCAAAAACCTTAGTTGTTTCTCAACTAAAATAAGTGAGAAAAGTAAGAAGTTTTGAGATAATCATATTTCCCAAGAAAATAAAGAATCGCCGCTTCTGCAGAAACAATTGCCGCGGCCCATTCTTTCAATGGAACTTTTCATCTCAGATTTGATTGAGTAAAATTCAAAAAGTTCTAAAAAACGCCAAGACTTTCCAAAATCCATAACGGTTTTATATTAAAAGCAGGTGATGGTCGCTTGAGCAGAGAAGATTTCCAAAGCCGGGTTTCTCGATTAAATACAACCTGAGAATTGGCCCGGTAGTTTTCGCGTTAAGTCAATAAGTTTCCAAAAAAACAGTCAACGTTTCAAAACTTTGAGTTGTTTGAAGACGTAACTTTTTTCTTAAACAAACTGGACGTGGCCAATTATAAAAAAAAACTTTCAACAATTTGTTTATTCGATTGCACCGATAATATCAGATTTAGCAGGATATTTAGAGAGAAAAACCAAAAAACGGTCAACAAATCAAAAATTTGACGAATCTGCGAATCATAGCTTTTCATGAGAAAAAATTATGCAGAAACGCTATGCAGAAGGGATTCGCGCAACCTCTATTTCCGATTGAACCCAAAATCTCAGATTTGGGAGAGTATTTTTCGAGAAAAATCAAAAATGTCCAAAAAACGGTCACAAAATCAAAATGTTATCTTTTGCGAGGGCCAAAACTTTTGGATTAAAAAAGTTTTGGCGTAGTCGCATAAGCAAATGAACTACCCGAATCCTGCTCGGAGAATTCAATCTAAAATCTCAGGTATGACAGGGTGGTTTTCGATAATATTCATTGAGTTAAAAAACGGTCCAAAAACCAAAAGTTTGACTTTTCAGAGGCGATAACTTCTTGTGAACATTTTTTTTGTTTGCACCAATAATGCAGAGGAGTTTTCCACTACCCGTTAACTCATTGAAACCTCAAATCAGATTTGAGAGGTTATTTTTCGAGAAAAGCAAAAAGATTCACAAAACGGTCAAAAATCAAAAATTTGACTATTTCTAGGGCCATAACTTTATGTACAAAAAAAAACGGTCGTAACCACTTATGCAGTAAAACTTCTTAAGGCATTTCAATTCATTAAAACTAAAAACTCATTTTTGACAGGGGTCGTTTCCAAGAAAATGAAAAAAAAACAAAAACATGGTTCAAATATTCCCCCACAACTTTTCAAAGGCTGGAGAAAAACTTAAATTTTTGAAATCCGCGCAGAAAACAAAACAATTCCAAGATGTGACAACTAAGCCGACAACAGATGAGCAGCCACATAATTCGCAGACAATTTTATTTGAAACAGAAAATTTCCCGTTTGAAAAAAAAATAGGTCCTGGTCGAATCCCAGGATTCGAACCCAGGACCTTTGCCGTCGCAGGCAAATGCGTTACCTCCAGGCTAAATTAGCCGTGAACGCTAAGAAAGTTGAATACATCATGAAACAAGGTAGCGATGAAACCAGACGAGTCCTGTGGACAAAGTTGTTTAAGAGAAAAAAAAACTAGTACCCGGTTGCAATACCCTTGCTTATTACAAAGGTATTTATTACAAAACACAGTTCAGAAGGGCACTTTGCAATATGTCGAAATCATGGACAGTTTTTATGCCTTTACTTAAAATCATTCAACACCTTCATTGATAGAACCTCTTAATTTTCAAATTATAACAAGTAACGAGCAATTTAAATTTTTCAAAAAGTTTAAGCGATGACTGAAAGTCCTGTAAAATGATCAATCGATTAACGCTTCGTTGAATCAAACCTGTTTTTCTCGATACTGGGACCAATTTTTGGAAAATTTTAATTGTCGTTCAAATCACGACTGAAAGAGCTTAAATATGATATATCACTCGACCCATTCCCATAATTATTTGTGTTATCCAACTTTGCGTGGAAAACAAAAAAAATGGTCAGAACAACAAAACGCCACAACAAAATATTATCACAAAAAAATGAGCGATTAAGTTTTAAAACTTAAACTTGCATCAGAACCGTCCTGAATTATTCTTTAATAAATTAATACTTTTTTCCTTTTAAACTACACAATAAGTTGTCTAAGAAAAACACCACTAGTTGAAACCATTAGAATTTAAAAAATAAATCACAACCCGAGATTGTAAAACGACGAAATAACAGGACGACTGCCAATTATAGTAAGAAAGGTTAAAAACAGAAAAAAGGTCAGTAGTATCGAAGTTAAACCGAACAACACAAGTTTTTTTTGAAGAGACTTGGAAGAAAGTTGTTTGCCCGATAAAAGTCTAATTCCGGTGATTACACACACTTGCCCTCGCATGCGTAAGCAGAATTAGGCAACAACAATTAAAGCTTTCGCAATAAAATATAACAGCCCAGGATTGATATAACAGCCCCGATACAAAAGAAAAAAGTTTTAAAAAATCGAAAAGATCAAAAAAACTAGATCTATTAAATGAATAGAGCTAGTTTTGAAACAAAAACATACCAAGACAAAAAGAAGGTGTAAAAAGCATCGGATGATAATGTACCTAGCGGTAACAAAACCGAAAATACCTCGTCAGAAACCTTGTCCGAAGTCACAAAAAAAAATCAACAAAACTTCTGAAAAGTTAATAAGTCCACTTCACTCTCAAAACACTTTATTTGCTCGTCAAATAAAACATTATGAGCCCACTAGGCTAGTAAAATATAGGCTGAAACATTTTAAGCCCAAAAAAGAAAATAAAAACAGCCGAAAAAAATATATAATAATTTAAGAGTAATAAAAAGTTATAAAGTCATTCTCAACCTCAAAACACAGACACGCATAAACAATTTTTTTTAGCTCGTCGAAAGATCCAATATCAGGCCAATAAGCCGACAAATTATAGGCAGAAACCTATCAAGCCGAAAAAAGTCGTTTAAAATTGTTAGCATGAAAAACTTTAACTATAATTCTATAAGAAATTTAGCATTTTGTGCAATCCAGTGATGAGCATTAAAAATGTATTTGCGTTGAAACGACTCAAAACTAGGTCACTGAGCCGATAAAAAATAGACCGAAATCATATCGGCAGAATAGTTTTTAAACGAAAATATATATACGAGGTCAAGTTAAATACAAACAGCACAAACAGAGTGAAATCAGAACTCTGTAAGCAACTATAATGTGGAAAAATCTTTAAAAAACTATACAAATTGGCAACTAAGCCAACAAAAGATCATCAGACAATCATCAGCCGACAGTTTATTTTTTTGAAACTGATTATTTCCAGTTTAAAAAAAAACAGGTCCGGTCAGTTTCGAACCCAGGACATTTGTTGTCCCAGGCGTATTCGTTACCTCCAGACTAAATGTGCCGGAGACGCTCAGAAATTTGAACTCATTATAAGCCAAGACACCAAAGGATTCGAATGATTCTGTTAAACTAGTTGTTAACACGAAAAAAGTCTATATTCCAGTTTGATAACGCTTGCTTATCGCAAGCGTAAACAATTTTTAAGTCTAAAGACTGTTATAATTATGCGTGTACATCATGTATCGGTGAAAACAAACTATATGACAATATGAAAACAAATTGCTGCAGCTGCATTTAAAGTTCAAAATCGATATATTGCAACCTAGTGATAGAAAATGAGACGGAAATGACTTAATTTGTTTTGAATTTTGAAAAAATATCAATTTCAGGAAAACAGTATTATATTGTGTTTTAACCTTTACCGTGCAGTCACTTAGCCGATGAGCCATAGGTACACTCCCATTAGGAAAAACAAAAAAAATGCCATACGAAATTATTGTTATAGAAAAATTTTGAGCTATTAACTTTCAAACTTAGAACTTTTACAACTAAAACACCCGAATTATTTTAAAACAGAAACCAATTTTTGACTCTAAATTAAGTTGAGGCTCTTTTCACCCCCTCTCCCAAAATGGAAATTTTTCATTTTCACAATTGTTTTACTTGTTATAACGACTAAATGAGTTATATTAAGATTTAAAGCATGAAGACAAAATCGCTTCAAAATTTTTGATTTGTTCACCATTCAAATGTTCATTGAATTCTGAAAAATTTAACATAGTTTTCACAACTTGAAAAGCAAACTGGAGGGGGGTGGCATTGGGGAAAAGATACTAAAATGACTAAGCCGATTAAACATAAGTCTAAACCATAAGATTAAACCATAACTTCCAAGCGAAAAAAAAATGAAAATATACCAAGTCAGGGCTAGTAAATTTACAAACACAAGTAAATCGAAAACACTTGCAACTACATTGAAAAAAAATCTTTCAGACCAGGAAATATCCGCGATGAGGACAACTAGGCCGACAAAACATGATCAGATACACGATAGTTCAATTATTTTTGGAAACGGAACATTTTCAGTTTGAAATAAAGTTGTATACCTGAAAAAAGTCTTTATTCCGATTTGGTAATGCTTGCTAATAGCAACAAGCGTAAGAAGTAGTATTTTTTCACCTAAAATCAGATTTCCAGGATTTTGAATTATCAGTTCTTTCCCATTATAGTCGCTCACCATATCAACAAAAATTGTAGCCTCACCACACTAGGATCTTAAGGCTCTTTTCCAGTTTCCCCCCTTTCAAAATACCGAGTTTTATGTTTGTTTTACGTGCTATTACGGCTAAATGCGTGATGTTACGCTGTTAAGTATGAAGAACAAATCTGTTCAGAATTGTCGATTTGTTCACCACGCCAAATTTCATTGCATTATGACAACGCTAAATAAGCTTTTCAAAATTGAATTTGAAAGGTTGGGGGGGGGGGCTGGAAAAGAGCCGATCTTAAGGATATCCCCACTACACTATGGTAGATTAAATATGCAATGGTTTTGCAATAAATAATATGTTTTTTTTTCGAAGATTACCCACTATAACTCAAAACAGAGTGTTATAAAACCTTCATTTTCACTTTGGTAACAAGGTAATACCAATTCAGCAAACTTATTAAGAGCCTAAGTTTTACTGTCTGTTTGTTACATTTCCGTTCGTTTTGTTGAAAATCTTGTTATATCTCTTTCAATGCCTACATGCCTTCTTCTTCCATTTCATCTCCTTCCTCAAATTCTCCCTCCTCTTCGGCCGAAGCGTCCTGATACTGTTGGTACTCGGAGACCAAATCATTCATGTTGCTTTCAGCTTCTGTGAATTCCATCTCATCCATACCTTCTCCCGTGTACCAATGCAAGAACGCTTTTCGCCTAAACATAGCTGTAAATTGCTCACTAATTCGCTTGAAGAGCTCCTGAATTGCGGTACTGTTTCCGATGAAAGTCGCTGACATTTTCAGACCTCGGGGAGGGATGTCACACACCGCAGTCTTGACATTATTCGGGATCCACTCAACGAAATAATTGCTGTTCTTGTTCTGCACGTTCAACATCTGTTCGTCAACCTCTTTCATTGACATTCGACCTCTAAACATGGCTGCAACTGTGAGATATCTACCATGACGAGGATCACAAGCTGCCATCATGTTTTTAGCATCAAACATCTGCTGAGTCAGTTCGGGAACCGTTAAAGCCCTGTATTGTTGAGACCCTCGGGAGGTCAAGGGCGCAAATCCTGGCATGAAGAAATGTAGTCGCGGGAAGGGGATCATATTGACAGCCAGTTTTCTCAAATCAGCATTCAGCTGACCAGGGAATCGAAGACACGTGGTGACTCCAGACATTGTAGCAGACACCAGATGATTCAGGTCACCGTATGTTGGAGTGGTGAGCTTCAAAGTTCGGAAGCAGATGTCATACAGCGCTTCATTGTCTATGCAGTAAGTTTCGTCGGTATTTTCGACCAGCTGGTGGACGGACAAGGTAGCATTGTAGGGTTCTACGACTGTATCGGATACCTTAGGCGAAGGTACCACCGAAAAGGTGTTCATTATTCTGTCAGGGTACTCTTCGCGAATTTTGGCAATCAATAGTGTTCCCATGCCTGATCCGGTTCCGCCTCCAAGAGAATGAGTCATTTGGAACCCTTGAAGGCAATCGCAGCTTTCGGCTTCTTTTCTAACAACGTCCAAAACTGAATCGACCAACTCGGCTCCTTCGGTGTAATGCCCTTTAGCCCAATTGTTTCCTGCTCCAGATTGCCCTGTTGAAAATCAAATCATAATTATCTCGAAACTTCATTTTTTAAATCCTGTTACAAAAATATCTAACCAAATACAAAATTGTCAGGTCTGAAGATCTGTCCGAAGGGTCCCGATCTAACCGAGTCCATTGTGCCTGGTTCCAAGTCGACCAAAATAGCTCTAGGCACATATTTGCCGCCAGTAGCCTCGTTGTAGTACACATTGATTCTCTCCAGCTGCAGATCGGAGTCTCCGTGATAAGTTCCTGTTGGGTCAATTCCGTGCTCATCGGAGATCACTTCCCAGAACTAGACATTCAGAAAGCATATTTTCATACATCTTCAGTTTATCACTCGAGTATCACTTAACTGTCTAGTAATTAACATTTTGTCCATTAAATGTAACCAGTTTTGAGGTGAGCCGTGGTGCTGAAAACTTGACACATTACTCTGATCCTATAACTGTTATCAATAAGCTGCGGGGCTAGAGGTTGAGAAAAAAACTCCTTATGCTGAAAATTTCCAAAAAACAACATTAAGCATAATTTAAGGCAAATAAAAAATTTAACCTTGGCTCCAATTTGGTTTCCACACTGGCCTGCTTGAATGTGAACAATTTCTCGCATTTTGGTTCAAATTAATTAACAACTCAGGGCTTTATGAAAACAACACCTAAACAGACAGATGCAATATTAATTACTTGTGAGAGATTCGCATCCCAAAGTCTCTTAAGGAAATGAAATTAGGAAAACTTTACCTTTTAGTTGAATAAATAATAGATCGTCTGAAGCTGCTATAAAATTATTTATGACTCATTTTCCAAGACTTCTTGTGGCGGTAAAACTCCATGTTGTGACATAAAAGTCAAAGAAGACAACCTAGTTGCAACTAGGACTTCATAGTTAGACGTCGCATTACAGTTCCCCTACTTCGATAACTAATCACCATGTTTTGATATCCAAAAATTAGCTAATGTGGAGGAGCTAAGGCGATGTGAAACGCTGTAGTTATACGATTAAGCTCTTAGCCAGTTTCCCAATCACCAAGATAAATTGGTCAAAAAACACATTTTACACCCATGTCTTATGCTAGAAAAATTGTCAGACATGTTCTCTTTTGCTGACATTTTGAAATGTTCATATTTACATATGAGGATCCCCCTCCCTCTACCTCATATGAGCATCAGTTTTGTGGCTTAATAAGCGATTTTAAAAGGTTTAGTAAGAAGACCGAATATGCTTGTCATGGCTTTTAATTGGGTAATGGGCAAACATCCGATGTCTAACATCCGAAAAATAGATACGTCTAACATCCGCAAAGATCGGCTCTTTTCCACTCCCGCACACACATTTTTAAAAAATTTCTTTTGTTTTTTCACGTGATACTATGGCTGAATGCGTGATGTAAACAATGAAGAACAAATGTGTTCACAATTAAGTTGTTCATCATGCAAAATTTAATTGTTAACGTAAAAATACATTTTCAAAGTTGAAAATCAAAAATGGGGGTAGGGGAATGAGTAAGAGCCCAAAAATCCGCTTTCTAGCGTTCGCTGAAAATATGCAATACTGGCCGATTTACTACTGACCGCCACCATCGCGTCAACTTGTTGCTAGCTTGCCAACAGCAAATCTCTATATGAAAATTAGGGCCGGTTATCGCAGCAAAGCGGCAATGTGGGCGTAGCGGTCACCGGCTACCTTAAACCGAGAGTCTGCTATATTGGAATCGGCTAATTGGTCTACGCCTTTTATTTAAAACTCTAACGTCATTTTATTACGTAATTGTTCCGACCATTGAAAATGGGAAGGAACTTTGTATTCGGGTGTTTTATTTTTTTTGCCTTCCACGCAAAATCAGGCACCAAAAATAATCATCGAACTGGGTTCAGTGATATATCATATTAAAGCCCTTTCAGTCGTGGTTCGAATGGCATCAAAAATTTTCCAAAAAATTCTTCCGGTGAAGAGAAAAACCGGTTTGAAATTTGATTTTTCTTCTAAGCTCGAGTGAGTAAATCAAGCGAGCACGCTTATTTATGCTTAATTTTCGCCGTTTATAATAGCTCATTTATAACAACTATGAGAAATTGTGTGTCACATTGTCGAGAAAAACCGGTTTGAACTTTTTGATTGTTGGTCTAATTTCGAGCTGATAAGGTGAACGTAAATGCTTACAATAGCCTATTTGTGCTTAATTTCAGTCGTGAAAGTTTAATTTTATTAAATTAATGTAGTTTCTGGAGTTTTTAGCGCAAATTTGAGAATCAAAAACTTGAAAATTCAAAAAAAATGCAAAAAAAACTTTTATTTTTTTTTTTTTTCGTTTTTCCAGTGTTTTTCTTCTAAAACTGTTTTCCAATTGACCTATTTACTTATCACTCTCAAATATGCCTAAATTCTATTTTTCGCTTAGACTTTGTAATCTTGTGGAAAAAACGACACCAACTTTTTAAAATTTTTCATAGGTCTGTGGTGGGGAACAATCTGTGGTATTTGCACAGTAACCGGCTATCCTTGATAGCTATTATATAATTTCGAATGTTTGAAATATTGAATGTTTGCACTAGACCCGTCTTAATTAGTCCGCAGGTCATTTTTCATAACAATCGGAAATGTGAACAGACATTTTGTTTTGAAAAATTCGCCTAAATTCGAGTAATGAACAAACTGACTGAATTTGTCAATTTCAATAGATTGCTGGGCCTGAAAAACATTTGGTTTCGGGATTTATTTTTCTCGCCTGCAAAATTTTGGGTCGCTATTCCCGGTTATAATAAAAGCTTGGACACGAACTAACTAGATTATACTTAACCTCTTCATAGTTAACCTTGCAAACCAGTCGCCACAGAAGGCGGAAAAATTGCCTTGTTAGGATTTGAAATAACTTTTGATATTCTTAACTGTTAGCGTGTTTAAGTTAATGGCCTTTCCCCACTTCTCTCCCAAAATTTAAATTTCAAGTTTTTAAACTCTTTAACTTCAAGTTTTTAAACTCTTAACGTTGCCATGATGGAAGGAAATTATTTTGCTTCAAATCAATTTCTGTTAACAAATTTGTTTTTCATACTTTTATCGTAACATCACGCATTTTCCATAATTATAGGTCAAAACAACTAATCAAATGGAAAATTTGAACTGCTGTGGAAGAAAAAAAAACAAGTGAACTATTGGACAGATTTTTAAAACATTTCCTACATGCAACATGTAAGGTTTTTTAACAACTTTATATGGTAAGTTTACGAACAGGAGGGAAACTATAAGAGAACCGTACTTCTGTAAACTTATTTCACTTCCCCACAATTAAATTTCAACTTTGAAACATAGCCGACAGATACTTAACTTAAATCTACTCAAGGAACAAAAAACAAGTTTCACTTTAGCTTTTGCTACACAGCGGCGCTTGGCACAACTTACAATACAGAGAATGAATCATCAGACAGAGGCGAAGCGGAACTTTGCACCACTTGCGATACCAGAGCAAAATAGCATCGCAAGCTAGTTGACAGGACGGGAACAAAGCCACTAAGTCCAAAAAACTGAACTAACTTCGAAAAAACCACAACTAAAGAATTTCAAAATGTTGCCTGGAATGATGTTTATTCGCGGAAAGTATTCGCGGCCAAAAACAATCTACGACATTTAATGAAAAATCAAAAACAGTTATCAAGCGGCAATTGAGCGCTAAAACTTGGGTAAATTCCCATAGAACCGAAAACAAAATAGTTTTCTTTAAAAATTTGAACTATAATATCTATTTTTTTAAGCTTTTTTGGCAATCCTGAGAATTTTTTTAAACAAAAACGTGAGAAATTGTTGTCATGAAAACCATTCGTTAGTCCCGAAAAGTCTTAAACACTCAGTACAACTATCAGAAAACTTTGCTTTTTAAGTTTGCCTCAGCAACAAAATGAAGACGTTTTTTCTACATTCTATTCATGTGAGGCTATGAAAAAAATAGCTTCGAATGTTTTTAACCTAGAATTGACAAGTTGGCTTCAAGAACTAACTGAGAGGTAAGGCCAGGTTTTTTCATTTTGTTTTACACTTAGTTTTATTATAGTCGGCAAGAAGAAATCTTCAACTAAGTTCATAATCTGGAGTATGCAGCCGCAAAAAATCAGCCCAAAAAGTAAATTACGTTTTGAGGAGAAGCATAATGCACAAACGTAGTAATACATAACACCCGGTCAATCTATTGTCATAAAAGAATCAGATACACAATCGGTGAAAATGGAAATCAAAAACCTGATTAAAATACAGTTATCATAACTAACTTCTAAAATTAAACGACTGATCACTCATTGAGGAGCTAACTTTCAATTACATCAACAAAAAATTAAATTAAAAATATCAGAAGCTCCTCATTGAAACGAAAAAATTCAATTCAACATTGGAAAACTATTAGTGAAAACACATCAAAATATATCTAAAATCAAAATTGCATTTCAGTATAAAATAATAAATTCAATAGGAAACACTGAATAGAGAATGCAACAATGGAACATTAAAACTTCCGAGGAGAATTGCACAAAACTGCTTGAAGGTTTCAAAAACTGAACTAAGCATCTTGGATCTGCTATATATTTTTTTACTACACTTCAAATGTTTCTCGAAAACAACAACACTTTCACTAATTTTTTCTCTAAATCAGCTTTAGAAGAAAATTCAAAAATGGACTTGAAAAAAAATAAAAAAATATTATCGGTCTTAAAAGACCTTGAAAAGCGCAAAAGATCAATAAGCTTAGTTTTGATTCCGTTCAGTCTTACAAAACAGCATAGATTGAAGTTTATATATAATTGGCTAGCTTGTCTCATTTTCCCGCTGCCCAATATATGCCACTTTATGTTGTGCGATTAGTTTATGCCCTTTCGCCTCTGATTCGGCGCGCAAGTTGAATGTCCTTGGGCATGATAGTCACGCGTTTGGCGTGAATTGCACAGAGGTTCGTGTCCTCGAATAGTCCGACAAGGTATGCCTCGGCCGCTTCCTGAAGTGCTCCGATAGCGGCTGTTTGAAACCTGAGGTCAGTCTTGAAATCCTGTGCAATTTCCCTCACCAGTCTAAAAATTGAACATTTATGCAAATAAAGGACGTGAAAACTTCACAAGTTTAAGCCCTGCAGACCCTATGAAAAAGACAATAAAAATGCGTACAATTTTTTGCTTCAATGGTAACGTTTTGATGTGTTTCCCCTTCACTTATCACCAAAAAGGTGGTTCACTTTGATTCGATTTGACTATTTGCAAGGCAGAAAAACGGAGTATAACATTAAAAAGGCCGTCTATTCCAACGTAAAAGCCAGGAGCATGTCGCAAAATACTATCCCAGCTCGCGCCTTAAGACCTGGAGGTGACAACCAGTTGCCGGTGTGAGTAAAAAGGCTTCAAAACCCAATCCTGAACAAATACCCTGAACACTTCTGGCATTATTTTGATTTATCGAAGCACTGCCAATTTAAACATAGCCAACTGACAGTTGAAAAAGAGTAATGAACGCAAGGAAACTGAAAAAAAAACGACTTTTTTTTTCAAAAATCTTCAACTTTTGAATTTCGAATTAAAATTGGATGGCCTTAAAGCTCTTCGAATTTGTAGAACAATTTATGATGGACACTTTTTTGTTAAGCTTAACCCAATTTGAGAAAACTGGATCAATAGGTAAAACTTTTAATTCGCTGGGAAATCTGATAATTAAGGTTTTTCGTGACCTTTACTATTTGGCTGTTCGATAGTGGCGTTTGCTTTCCTTTTAACAATAGAAATGCACTGAACTTAAAAAGAAATCACAAGTCAAACCGCGAAAAATCAAAATTGAGCGTGAACAAATTTTGAGACTTTTTCCTGAAAAAAAACGAAAAAAAATCAGCAAGACCTGTGTAAGAGTTTTCATTACGTTCGTTACTCTTAAAAATTAAAATCAACCTTCTTTTTGAGTTTAACATGCTATTCTTACAACCTTGTCTTCAAAGCGAGTTCAAATGAACGCATCAGACGGGAAACCCCATTTCAATTTTAATAGCAGCGATTTCTCTTTATACTTTTTTAATGGAGAAGAACTCTCATTCATCTTCAATATGAGAATTGATGTCAAACAGCCTTCAATTGCTCTAAATATTGGCTGGGCCTAAGGGGTGAAATGATTAGATTTCGATTCGCAACACTACATTTTTGTCCGTTGTTGCTCGTCTTTTCCTCTTTAATAAAATTTTTTCTTCCTCGGACAAGATAAGAAGGCGGACTTAAAAATACCCTTCAGCCCGTTTCTAAAACTGTTATCGTTAGCTGAGAAATAAAACCCACAAGTATTTCCATACGTTGCATTAACTTTTGCAATTGAACTAGGATACATTTATTGAATTAATCCCTAGAGTTACCGAAAATATTTCATTTCAGACTACAGCACGCTTACTAGGCTGTTAACTTTCCGCAAATTGCTCGCTCAAAACAGACCCTTAAATGGCTATAGCGTTTCAGAAAATATTTGCTTAATTCCTGTAAAATCCAGTTTCAAATATAATTTGCAACTGCAAAGTTTGAATGATTGTTTTGGACTCTCAACCCACAGAAGAATCAAATTATTTAACGATCCCTTAACACAAGTTTTTGTTTACAACTTACCTCTGGAACGGCAGTTTTCTGATCAGCAACTCGGTCGATTTCTGGTAGCGTCTTATTTCCCTCAAAGCTACTGTCCCTGGGCGGTACCTGTGAGGTTTCTTCACTCCCCCAATAGCCGGCGCGCTCTTCCTGGCTGCCTTAGTTGCCAGTTGTTTCCTGGGGGCTTTTCCTCCAGTCGACTTCCGCGCAGTCTGCTTAGTTCTAGCCATTATTGTTTCCGCCAAAAACGTCAATCAAACTCCTAGTTGTCTAGTAAAAACTGGTGTAATTGTAACTGAACACTGATCTGGCGTACTTTTAAAATCTCCTTGAAATAAGGCTAACTGCCTCAGTAAATATCTGAAAGTTGTAAACAACCCATTACACAGAGTTACTTCTGGATAAATAAGTTAGAATTGGTTACAGTCAGCCTTCTTAACGAGTAATCCGAAATGTCTGATACGCCCAAGTATATGAAGAGTCACTCGGTGGGATGCCAGCAGAAAACGACTGAGATTAAAAAGTCTCACTCGGTTAGATTGTAAGTATTGCTAGTTTACAACTGGATCACCTCAAATGCATGCACTCGCACTCCTTTCAATTTGTCAAAACCTTAAAAATTCTCAAAATTGGCGTTTTATTGCAAGAAAATAAGTGCTAAATAGTAGATTAAAAGGAGTTTTTTAACCAGAAAAGTAGCTCTTGTTCAACATCATAATGGTTGAGCACTATTTCAATATTCAATAAAAGTAAAAACCATTAGTTGAAAACGAGATATAGTTCAAATAATTTTTCAAGAGCGGAGGACCTTTTAAAATGTCAACAAATTATGCATGCTAGACACTTTGTTTTCCGCAGCATATCTTCTCAAGCTCCACATCTCGAAGCTAGAGCCCTGAACTTTCACCACTGGTTTAATATTCCAGCCATATCGTCATCTGCACAATTTATATTTGATCATAAAATCTGTATCTTCTCTTTAAGGGAATCCTTTCTCACTATTTCTCCTTTTTCTTTCATGAGCGTTTCCACGTTAATAGTCTTTCCCTTTTCCGAAAACCAGCCCAGATTGTCGGCAATTAGATGGTTGTTCTCGCACTTCTCACACTTAATAATGACCACACCTTCAGTGTACGCTCTTTTCGACATCATTTTCATCTCACTTCTTGTTCCACACACTTTGCATGTAAAAGAAATTGCCAGTTTGCCACTAATCTGACCTAATTTCTGACCACCATCAGAAGTAGATGTACCTTGTAGCCGTCTCTGAAGGCAGCAACCAATAATATATCTGTCATGAGTTAAGTGAAAACTCAAAATGGCTGATTGTGAAATCCTTGATCTGTGCTGCTGGCATAAATTTGGCAGAGAAGCTCCGAAAGGAGTGAAGCTCCGCTTAGCAAGACCGTTTAATTTGCTTCTTGACAACAATTTATTCATTCTTCTGAAACAAAATGTAAATTGTATCACTTTTTTTTCAACAACAAAAACCCTTAGACTTCGTTTAAATCATTCATCTTAATTTGCTGGAAACAAAATATCGCCCGGAACCTTTTCTTAAACCTAGGTAAGTAATCAAAACTATTTATCGGTAGACGAATATTTATGTTTCAGCGACGAAGATAGCCACAGTGGTCTAGGCGACTCGCAGCAGTCGGGTAAAAACAGACGAATCTCGTTCGCCGCTAACGTTAAATCACACCGAGCACGTTCGGCAAGCCAATGGTCTCGTCTTGGGGTTGACGAAGAGTTCCGAGGGCGAATCGATACGACCGGGTCAACTTGGAGTCAATTCAGCTTCACCTATGGAACCAAAGAGATCCGACCTCTAGAGGACAACTACACTGACATCGGTAATCGACCGTCTCTTCGGCAGCTCCTGCACCAAGGTGAAGAGAATCTTCATACGGATGAGTCAGAAAATGAGGAGGCGGCAGAAGATGAGGAAAAGGATCAAACGGATAAGGGGAAGCCAGGTAGCATCAAAAATGGAGATAGTGTGAAATACATCAGAGACAACAGTGGCAGTAAGTATTTAGATACTCGACAAAATTTCAAAGCGACTAAAATCTTTTTTGAAAAATCATCATCTTTTATCTATATTTCCAACCATAGAGATTCTTGTCAATGAAAGCTATTAACCTTGAATTTTGAGTGAAACCTCGACAGGTTCAAAAACACAGCCGAAAGTTGCATTTCCTAATGCAGAAAGAATGTTCAACCATCCACTTAACAGCTCATTTTTTGGTCCTTTTCCTCGCCGGTAAATGATCTAATTAAGACTTAGTAATAAAAAATGATGTTTTTCAGATTCAAGCGTTGACATCAAACTTAAAATTGTCAACTCGATTCCGCCCACGTCCGAACCTGAGAAATTCGACTGGGTCAGAGGGGTGCTAGCCAGATGTCTCCTGAACATCTGGGGTGTCATGATCTTCTTACGAATTCCCTGGTGCGTCGGCCACGCTGGCATCCTGGAAATGACTAGTATCATCTTACTTTCAACAGTAGTCACCATCATCACTACTCTATCAATGTCAGCTATTTGCACTAATGGATTCATCAAAGGAGGCGGCGCTTACTACCTCATCTCGCGCAGTTTGGGTCCCGAAATTGGAGGAGCTGTCGGCATAATGTTTGCATTTGCTAATGCAGTTGCAGTTGCAATGTACATCGTGGGTTTCGCAGAAACAGTTAGAGGTGTTCTAAGTAAGTGGTACCTAATGAACTTTCGTGTCTGTACAAAACAAACAGCTCCAGACAAACCAGTCTAACAACAAAGCCAGAAAAATGAATGGAAAAACAGTCCGAAAGCAAACAGTTCTGAGCAAGCAATAGCTACTGTAAAAACCACTGATCATTTCAAAAGCTGCGAAAGGTTTTACAAAGCTTGATTTTAAACACAGAACAGGAAAACAATGCCAAACAGGGTTGAAATGTAAACTAACTTTTGGACATTTCAGTTGAGCAAGGACTTCTGGCAGCCGACTGGGACCTATGGGATATCCGGCTGATTGGACTAGTGACCTGTATCGTCATCTTAGCCGTTGCTCTTCTCAGCCTCTCACTGGTTGTCAAAGTACAACTCTCTCTTCTAGTTCTTCTCATCGTTGCCATTTTGGACGTCACTTTAGGATCCTTTGTATCTCCTCCATGGAGAGATGACCGAACTAAATATGGATTCACGGGATACAACTACACTACGTTTTCTACCAATCTTATGTCCGATTATGGACAGAAGGAAAATTACTTTACAGTATTTGCTATCTTCTTTCCTGCTGCTACTGGAATACTGGCAGGAGCGAACATATCTGGGAACCTCAAGGATCCAGAAAAAGCTATTCCAAAAGGAACTCTGCTTGCTATTGTCATCAGTACTTTCACTTACATCGCTCTCAGGTAAAAAAAAACATAAAAAATATTGTTCTCAATAAGTTAAGTTCAGGTTTAAATGAGAATAGACATATTTTTGAATGAATTTTAAACGTTATTTAAACTAAACAAACACAATTTATGCACGTTCATCTTTATATCTGTTTATAGCTCCTTTTACATACAGCATCAATGAGTTCAAGCTTTCCTTCTGGTTCGTATGTACAGTCGAGAAGGTCATCACGAAACTTTGCTTAGCTAGCTTGAAAACAATTGAACAACTCAGGGCATCTTCATCAACCATTTCTTCATTAACATCTTTTGCGATCTCTTTCTCATCCGAGAAAAAACTTGTGTCTGAAAAACTTGGAGAAGAAATTTGTTCTTTCGGTGATGAAGAGCTGTCTGCGTTTGTTCCTTTTGAGGTTTCGAAACTGATGCCAGAATCTAAATCTTCCGCGACATTCTCGTCTTCAAGTCTGCGCACTTTACTCACAGGTGGATGAAAAGAGACGTCAGTAGAAACACTTAAATGATCAACACCGATTAAGCTCCTTTTCAATTTTCGATTGTTTATCAAACATGATTCCTCATTTCCAGTAGGGAAATCTTTGTCTAGCTCCTGTTCCATCTTTTCTGGAGACTCTTTTGATTTTTTGTTGGCGCGCCTTTGCCGGCGACTATGAATCCATGTCACTTTTTTCGCAACTAATTTCAATTTCAGACAAGATGGTATATCTGATATACTTTCAACAACCACATCACTCAAATCTTTCAGCAATTCTTGTGCCATTTGTGAAATTGATTGAAACTTCTCCAAATCCTTGTCTAAATGCATGAGGTTTGCAAACTCATTTACAGCAATTGACCATTCGACTGGTTTGCATACACTTTTATCATTAGGTTTAATTGCATTTCGTTTTTTCGAAGAGTAGTTCGGCAAAGGAGCACTGACGTTGTCGCAGAAGGTCCACGCGAGTCCCCATCGCCACGTCTTCCCTTGTCTAAACTCAGTCGTTTCAACTCTTCTCACCGCTTCAATTGCACTCAGTCTTTGTTTAAGTGGCGCCAGGTTCTTTTTGATTCCGACCAATGCAGTATACCATTGTACTCGAGGTCCAACTATCAGACTGTGGTCGATTAAGGTCGAAATAACTGACGTTTCTCCACCCGGAGTTGAACATTCGTTCGCAGATCCTGCTTCTGAAGAAGTATCTGTATCGTAAAACGGAGGATTCGTTAAGCAGAAAGTCCATGTTGAAGATGGATCCAATATATCAGACAATGCGTAACCATTTTCGACTCTTTGAACTTCAATTCTATCGTTTAGGTCATTCAGTGATATATTTTCCAAAGATGAGTGAACATTTTCGTAGTCCGATTCCAAACAAAGACCCAAAAACTTCCATTTATGAACTTTAGCTCCTAGTAGCATATAAATGGCACAAGAGCCACATCCAATGTCAATTCCCCGAACTTGTCTATTCTCAGAATTTGACTCATTCGGTAATAAGTTTATCAGATCTTCAATCCACAAAATATAATTTAGCCTCAGAGGCACTGTCGGAATTAGTTTATTACTAGGTATGCATGTTTTCAGTCCAAAGTAGTGTTCTAGTAATGTTTGACTTAGAACCCGCATAGCTTCACGATTCTTGAAATCGTACTTCAATTTGTTCTTGATGTTCAGTGAGCAGAACTCTTTGAATTCGGGATATTTCTCAGCTAGCAAAGCGAAGTTTGGCTTGGTCCGAAACACACTTCTCGGATGCATCAAATCAGATGAACTCATTTCAGATCTGCAAAAATAGTTCAGATCAAAATAGGAACAGACCAAAAGTCGAGATAGAGGGAATCGAAGAATGAAAACTAATAGTGACATGAAAATAAAAAGGTTATGTTTAGGCAGGCTTCAAAATCCTGTTTTACAGGACCGAGCCCATTTGACACCAGATAGAATGTCAATAAATTGGTAATTCGCTATGGACGCCAGACCTGATGCAACTTTGTTTTTGGATGTGTCATCAAAAGTGGAAACAGTATCGTTTTCGAAGTCCACAAAACAAACTTTGTCGAGGTGCCTGAAAACTGTTACACTTGATTCTGCGTCTGGTTTAACTTCCAGAACTGACAAGAGCTTCCCATTTGGGTTTTCGTTTAGTTTACTCGATCCATGGCTAGCGTCACTCAACGACTCCAAGGCGAAATGAACACATTTGGCAAACGACGATGGTTTTAGTTTTTGTTTCAGGTGGTCAGAATTTAGATGGAGCTGCAATTCTGAACCAAAATGCTCTTTAATATCTTCACTAAAATTGACTTCTTCAACCAAAAGCGCCAGCTTCAAATGACAATTGGAATTGAGAGCAGCACACATTAGTTTCTCGCAGTTACCAAAATCCTTTTTGAGCTCTTTCACGTCTTTTCGCTTAAAGGATACAAACAAGGGTTTTTGCGGCCTGAAAGTTTTAATATTCGGAATGAAATAACGCTCGTTTGACTCTGACAAATCCTCCAATTCTGAATCTTGGTCCAAACTATCAATTTCTTCATAACTTTCGCCTGCTTCCGAATTTGAATTAGTCGCATTCCTATCTAAACTTCCATTTATACTTGCATCTGAACTTTGAGCGAAGCCTTCGATCTCCTGCTGAACTGGTCGACTCTGAGCTTTCTTGGCTTCTATCAGAATAATAAGGCGTCGCGTGTTTTCGCAGATAGATTTATTTTCCTCTACTTTCATTCTCAGAGATTCTATCGCTTCCATTTATTTTATCCGTCAGTTTCACATCTCGAATATTTGATACAAAAACCTGAAACTATCGAAAGCTCATCTAAATCTCTATAAAAGGACCATTAAAAAATGTGGCAAAACAATTAATTTAAATCTTAAAAAGATGGGCCGGGAAAATTTTCTTCATGTTTGTCACAATCATAAAAAGCTCTCATAATGTTGACAACAGAGTCAACTTAAGCTCAGTCTCCATTTAAAAAAAAACATTGTTTCCTTAGTTTCCTTTGTGGAGCTGTCATGGTGCGAGAATTGGAATCAGATGGTATGATCCAGGGACTCAAAAACCTAGACAGTCAAGTAATGGCTAACATCTCTTTCACATATGTCATCCTAGTGGGTGGAATAGTCGCTGCGTCTCTATCCAGTGCTATAGCCAGTTTAGTGGGCGCCCCCAAAGTGTTCCAAGCTATCTGCAAAGACCATCTATTTCCCTACGTCGGCGCAATCGGAAAAGGATCGCCTAAAGACGACGAACCAAGACGTGGATATATTTTGACGGCACTCATAGGTATGGTTAAACATTTAATCAGTATTATAACGCAACAAAACAGATATAAGTTAATTAACAATTCTCGTTTTCAGGCCTGGCGTTTGTAGCTGTTGGAGAATTGAATGTAATTGCCCCTTTGATCTCCAACTTCTTTCTGGTCAGTTATGCCCTCATTAACGGAGCATGTTTCATGGGATCTGTCAGCAAAGCCCCTAGCTGGAGACCCAGCTTCCGATTCTACAACAAGTGGCTCGCTCTCATAGGATTCCTCAGTTGTTCCTCAATTATGTTCATGATTGACTACTTCACAGCCTTAATCAGCTACTTCGTCATCGGTGCTCTGTTTGTTTACCTTGTTGTGAGAGATCCGAACGTTAATTGGGGTACATCAACGTCTGCATTCGCCTATCTGAGCACGTTGCATTCCATACTCAAACTTCAGAACAGCGCAGACCACGTGAAGACTTACCGACCTCAGATTTTAGCAGTTTCTGGGGATCCCAAAAAGCACCAAGAACTTGTAACTCTAGGTTGGTTTTATTTCGAACTAATAATTCGAAATCAGAAGACTTATAACAAATCAGCGAAAGAGGCTTAAAACGTACGGGCTTTTTAAACGAAATGGTTTATTTTAGCTAGCGCTATTACAAAGAACTCGAGCATGATGATATGTGGGAACATCATCGACAAAGCAAATACGAATAAATCAGTACCAGAGTTCAAAGAGGTGAAAGATTGGCTGATGGACAACAAGATCAAGAGCTTCTACTGTCCTTTTTTCTGCAGCAACTTCCGACAAGGAGTATCTTGCCTACTTCAAACTTGTGGGATCGGGAAGTTCCGGCCCAACATTCTGTTTCTAGGTGAGTTTTATTTAACGTGCGTGGCACCAGAACATCCAATCCATACATTACTGTTTCATTAATGAATTTTAGGATACAAATATAACTGGAAACTTGCGCACCCAAAAGATGTCGAGGACTATGTCAATGTTATCTACGACACTTTCGATTTCAACTGCGCCGTGTGCATTCTGCGCTTACCCAAGAAAACTGCGGTAATGCCTTAAAAACTATCAAATAAGAATATAGAGGCATGGATATGCTTTAAAGGTTACCCGTCGTTCTATTTTAAATTCAGAAGTTGATTGAGCAGACTAATGAGACGGAAGATGATGAAAATGATCAGCCGGACACAGCTATTTCAATTTCAACCCCCACCCAGCACGAGAATATTTTCCGAGCCCGTCAATCCAAGGGAACTATTGATATCTGGTGGCTCTACGACGATGGTGGACTATCCATTCTTATTCCTCATCTCATATCTCTCAATTGGAAATGGTCAGGATGCCAACTGAGAATTTTCATCAGGTATGAACAAAACTTCTATTCGCTCTAGTCGAAAATTACTGGCTCAATAGTAGATGCTAAAAATAACACTTAAGCATAATTGAGCACTAAACCAAGTAGCGGATACCTTTTTGCACGATAACAGGGATTTTCACGGATCCTTCTTCACAAATAGCCATAGAGATATCATCGTAAATTCCTAACTTTTCAGCGGGTCCCGATCGAAACTTGATGACGACCACGGAGTTATGCTTAAAATGCTGCAGAAGTTTCGGATCAATGTCAAGTTTTTGAAAGTGATTCCTGAGTTGAAAAGCAAACCAAGCAGAGAAGAATGGAAGAAATACGAAGCTATGCAGAAAGAATTCGAGACCGAGCACGACGAAAAGAACGCCTATATATCAGCGAAAGCTAAAGAAGACCCCAATAACTTGAGAGTAACCAAGAGAAACGTTCGAATCGGGGAGTTAGTGAGAATGCACTCTAGCAAGTCCACGATGGTTATTATAAACATGCCATTACCGAGGAATCTCGATCAAGCCCAATATCAGTACATGTGCTGGCTGGAGACCCTATCGGAGAATCTTCCGCCAACTATTCTTATGCGGGGCAACCAAGAAAACGTTCTGACGTTCTACTCTTGATTTATGTAGTATCATCAGTGACTTTTTGTATTCATTTCATAATCATTCAATTCCAGTATATATTTGCTTTCTTGAACTTTTTAATCTGATCAACAACTCTTTTTCCCCAAAAGATGACAAAAAAACGTACAGCAGAAAATATATAATTAAAATATATTTGGGTTTTCGTAAAAGTTCTTTTTTTATAGTTAATGCCAAATTGTTAGCAATATCAGAGACTTCAAGCAATTTAATCGGTCATAAAACTGTTCTTTTTAGGTTAACTAGATTTTCTGACAGTTTTTTTGGGCTGAAATTAGAGAAAACAAAATTTCCGACGCCAATCAGGTTAGTTTTAGTTTAAATAACTTGGTTCAGATTCGTTGATCAAAAAAGGATGCAGACAAAAATTTGACTTGACTAACTATAAATAATTTTTCTTAAATTCTCAGCACATGTCACGAATGCAAGCAACGAACAGGGTCCAATTACTCTGCGAGTAGCATTTAAAATTTCGACTTCAGATCGGTGCCTAAAATTCAGTGCTAAAAAGGCCAAGTATGAATTGTTTAACAATCAACTCAAAAGAGGCGATGAAATTGTGACGAACTCTCGGTTTTTAACACAGACGCGAAAATGCGTTCTCTGCGAGCCGATGAAAGAATGCTAAAAGAGCCGATGAAAGAAAGCTAGCTGACGTGACAGCCATTAAAATCCTGAAGCATCTATCCATTGACCACCGGAAACTATCGAAAGCTACCAGAGTCGGCAAGAACAGAATAATTAAAAGTATCCCTCATACCATTCTCTTCAACAGCGAGAGCAGCATTAGCAGAGACCTGATTCTGAACTCCAATCAAACATTTAAAGATTTCATGGATTTCTTCAAGGTCGTATGTATATCGAATTCCTGAGCTAAATACTGAATTAAACAGAGAGAAAACGACTGTCTCAAGCAAAGCAAGGACATTAATCATGCGAACGAAAGACAAATCTCAAAACAGAGGTTTCTGAAAGCAATCCTTGAATTGCATTTAGAAATAGTCGCTCCGCAAGCAAGAAGGATTGACTACATGCACTGTCAATCCTCATTTTTATCTTCAGAAGTCTAGCTGATATCAAAATGAGAATGACCTTCGCAAACAAAATCACCAAATCAATATCGATGTAATGTTGAACTGAAACATGGCTAACACTTAAAATTCTCACCGCAATTTTACTTCCTGATTATCAAGAAAAGACAGAAAAAAGACAAAGTCACAAAACCAAGCACGGGGTAGTGCTTATTGCATTTTGTAACAACATCAAGTCTGAAAAATTCTCTTGAGCATTTAGTCATTACTTTGCTATTCAGTCATCATATCTTGGCTGAAAAAAGCACCATATCCAAGTACATCAAATCACTTGAGCATTCAGTCATCCTATGTTGTCTGTACAATGCATCATATCCAAGTATATATATCAAAGAACACTATCTGATCTCAAAAACATACCAACAGATCTCAGCTGCTCCTCTCAGAACACTGGACTGAGAAATACTAGTGATATCAACTTCTCGGCCCAAATTGGAAAAAAAATGTCATCTCAAAACCAGTTCGAACATGAAATACTTCAATATATGATTGAATCGAACTAGAAACATTTTGCATCTAGACAACTAGATGTCATATTTTATACATGTAATGAACAACTCATAAGCCTTCAAACTGATACGGCACTTCAAACATCATTGAAACCAATCAGCCATTTTTGGAGCATTTGCCACTCAAAAGCATTATAACTAGCGTGTACCGCACCTCCGGTGCTTCAAATTTTCAACAACTCAAAAAAACTATTGTTTGAGTGCACTCTGACAGCACCCAATTACGTGGTTCGTAATTAAAAATTTTGCAAAGTTTTGAAGAACCATTTTGCAAAATTTTGAAGAACCATAAAATTTTGTGAAGTTTTTTATAAGTTCTTCGAAAAATTTAAAATTAACTAAGAAACGTCACATCTGGGAAACTGAAAGCAATTGAGCAGTCGCATTTGGACGCAAGATTTGCAACTCCTGAGAGTACTCTTACAGTACCCAACTACAACGTTGGGAAATTCAAATTTTGAGAAACTTCACCTTAAGTTTTCTAATCTCGAAAACAACCAATATTTGAGTAGTCTTTTTTGATGGCAATATTCGCAATCTTTGAAAGTAGACAACTACAGGGTTGGGAATTTCACTTTAACGAATTATTTTGTAATTTGAGTTTTCTGAAAATTTCCAAAAAAAATCACACAAATCGTCGTATCTCTTAACCAAAAAAGATTTGGGCATTCTTAAATGGAGGCCGAATTTGCAATCCCTGAGATTACTCTGACAGCCCCCCAACTACAGGTTAGGAATTTCAAACTTTGAAAAAAAACAATAATTTAATCGTGAGTTTTTTTTGAAAAAATTACAAAAAACGTAATATCTGGAAAGCTGCACAATTTTTGAGCAGTCCTATTTGGAGGCAAAATTCACAACTCCAGAGAGTATCCCGACAGAGCCTCACTACAGAGATATTAATTTCAAGTTTTGCGAAATTTTTTATAATAAACTTTTCTGAAAAATTTTGAAAAAAAAAATTTAAAAAAACATCATATCTGGAAAATTCCAAAAAATTTAGCAGTCAAATTGGGAGGCAAAATTCGCAACACCTGAGAGTACCCTGACAGAGCCTCACTACAAAGATGGTAATTTCAAGTTTTGTGAAATTTTTTATAATTAAGTTTTCTGAAAAATTTTGAAAAAATTCTAAAAAAACGTCATATCTCGAAAACTACAAGAATTTGAGCAACGATATTCAGAGGCAAGATTCGCAACCTCCTGAGAGTACCCTCACAGATTCCAATAACAGGATTAAGATCTTTAAAGTTTTGGAATTTTTTAACATTTAAGTTTTTTTCAAATTTCGGATAAAATCATAAAAAACGTCATATCTCGAAAACTACAAGGATTTGAGCAGTCATAATCAGAGGCAAGATTCGCAACCCCTGAGAGTACCCTCACAATATCCAACAACAGGATTGAGATCTTCGTTTTGGAATTTTTTAAAATCTAAGTTTTTGAAAACTTTTTGAAAAATCATAAAACCATCATATATCGAAAACTAAAGGATTTGAGAAGTGAGAATTGGAGGCAAGGTTCGCAACCCCTGAGAGTACCCTGACAGCACCCAACTACAGGGATGGGAATTTTAGATTTTGAGAAACTTTTTAAAATTTAATTCTCTAGAAATTTTTGAAAAGTCTCGAAAATTGCCTATCACGTAAACTAAAAGGATTTGGCTATTCATATATGGAGGCCAGAATCGCAAAACCTGGGAAAACTCAGACAGTAACAATATCCTTCTATTGGGTTGCTAATTTCAAACTTGATGAAATAAACACTGAATTTAAACTGGAAAATTGAAAAAAAAAACCTTCAACATGCAAAAATAATACGTTGAAAAAGCTTAAACATGGCGAGATAGTGATGCCCCCAATTAAATATATAATAGATAGATAGATAATAGATGAAAGTTAAAAAATTAGGCGACGGGTAGACAGACATAATCAAATTAATTTAAAAAGCAGGCATACAGACAGACAGACAGACAGACTTAATTTGGCCTCGAAAAAAATACTGAGAAATTAATGACCTTGCGAAAAACTAATTGAAAAATTTTCTTAAGCATTGCAATATATGCTATAGCTTAAACATGAAAAAATTCTTTCGTTAAACATGCAAAATTATTTGCTTAAACATGGGAGATAGCTGTCTCTCGCATTTAAATATAGTATATAGAATATAGATAGATAGATAGATAGATTTAAATATAGTATAGATAGATAGATATCACTTCGGGAAACCTCAAAAATTTACAATATGCTTTCAAGAACGCAGATTGGGAAGCTCGCAACTTGTCAATTGAAAACTGACTATGTTCCACGACTTGAAGCACACGGCCGAACACCCTCAATGTAATACTAGCTCTACTTCGAATCTGATGAAGCCATTAAACAAAGAAACAAGCACACAACTATCAACCCAAACTAACGAAACTCCATCAAAAAAAAAGAGAAAAAGCACACACGATGGAGAACGACTTAAAGAACAGATCCTCAGAAGCAGTACTTTTAGCCAGATACTGAAAAACTCCATCCGGAAAACACCAGTTGTCAACCAGAACGAAACAATAATAAAAAAACAAAAAATATGCGATATGTTTAACGATTAATTTGTCAGCATAATTCGAAGCCAAAATCTAAAAGTGCCGGCTTCAAAGCCACAACTTTGAACATAAAACAAAACAAGACTGCTCGTATCAGTGCAAAGCCCTGAATGTTCCGACTGCCTTTTAACGTTTTATGGAGCAGTAATAACATGAAAAATTTAAAAGTAAAAAAAATAAATAAAAAAAATTTAGATTTTTTGTAAAAATACCCCCCCACACATTTTTTAAAATTTGAAATTTTTTATAAAAATCATCCCCCCATGCGCCATTTAAAATGCAAAAAGATAGATTTAGCTCCTTGTAACAAATCAATTATGGCAAATAAGCTTCTTTTAACCAATTTGGAACAATTTTAAGACGGATTAACTCTCCGCTTACACGTTAATAGCGCGAAATATATCGCGCGTTAATTGTCCCAAATTGGCCAAAATGGCAATCTTTAAACCCCCATAACTTTACGAAAAATGATCAACGGTGAAATATCTTTTCAAATTTGAGCTCAGGACAACAATACCTTTTGAATGATATAAAAAATTGCGTCAAAAATGGCTAGTTAAAAAGTCAAAATTTGTCTGAAGAAAAAAAACCCACCGAGCACAAATATTCCGTTACTTTTGTATCGAAAGTCGGAACAAAAAGTCCAGATTTAAATGCAATCAAGCAAAGCAAGCAATCAAAATCAAAAAATCAATGCGCAAAAATTGAATAGCTGATACTAAAGAACTCCCAAAACGCTATACAAACCCCCTGATTCTCTCTTCTCAACTTGAATAACCAAATAAAAATATCCAGCCTCATGAAGGATCAGTCAAGTGACGTCATCGTCCCATAAGCTTGCATTGCTGCTGCTCAAAAATTTCTGTTTGATAAAGACAAACTTCTGTTTGATGAAATGTATGAGCTGGTCAAAAACAAGTTACATAAGAATCAACATGGCTTTCGGAAAAGGAGATCAGTAACTGTACAGTCACTTCTCTTTCTCGATGAAAAATATGAATATAACAAGGAATCAATATAACAATTTTCAGTGCTATATGGAGTT